AACTGTATAACACAATGGACAATGAGAATGTGACAGTATGTTATTCTTAATTAACAGTCCTTTTTTCTAGAAAAACTAGAAAAATATACCTTTAGTTTTTCCAAATGACACATTCCCTTTGAGACATGCCATGCAAACATGATCAGAGTTCTAAACAATTCAACAGCTGTTTTGTTTGATCCAAAACCAGGAGAATTCAGCTGTAAGCCTGGAATTGTTGAGCATCGTCTTAGATAAGACAGAAGATCACCATTACTAGCGTACTCAAGCACCAACATCATTGATCCTATTTTAAATAAATAATAATTGATAAGTTAAACAAAATTTATTGATTTATTATTTGATTTGTTACATCCGTTGCAAGAATATCATACTTAGATGAGATGATAACCTTGAGGGTTTTCAAATTTGGGCCTATACTAGACAGTTTTTTCATTGAGCTCAGCGGGCTCTTTATTTTTCAAAAGTCTACCATGACTTCGTTTCTAAGGACATACATATGATGATTTTCACTTCCAAGATCGATTGCCAAAGGATCTGTTACTACTTACCCATGTATAAAACTTTAACTTTGCGCAGTGAACTAGCTATAGAATCGAACCCAGGCTCCCCGTCGTGAATATATGAGCCGTTCCAAGCGAAAACACCCCTTATGTCAAAAATTTCCGAAAATGACTTTTTTCTTGAAAAATGATGTAGAACCTTGGGTGAATATAACCTGTAAATATTACGGGTGTATCTTGCTCCGTTACGGATTTACAGGTATTCAAAGTATGCATCATTTATACAGCTGACGTCGTATTTTATAAAATTTTCTCTTGTAGCGACGTCGACGTTATAGCTACGTAATAAAAACATGAATTACTTATACGCAATAACTTGGTATTGCCGTTCTAACTTATATATGTGCTTAATTTGTTGTAAAATATTTTTCATTAAAAAGTTCAGTTTATTTTTTTCTGATATTTATTAAAAATATTTCAAAGGAGTTCAAATAGTTCTATGATTCACTGACTTAGAGAAAACATCTCAAATACATGTAATTGAAAGGTCTTTTATAAAGAAAAATTCACTTTCAATTTTACCGCTTAAGTTCAGCCCAAATCTTTCAAAACCAGCAACAACAAAATATAGTTTAGTTCCCATTAATGTATATTTTTGATAATTGATGTTAATTACTTGTCCAACCTTTGCCTTTAAAACACCGACCAAGAGACAGCATTAAGGGGCAGGGGCTTGCGCTTTTATCAATGAACACGACGTAAGGATTTTGTAAAGAATCATGGTAATGGTATTTGAATGTAAATGATGAGTACCATTTATCCTTTTTCTAAATACTCAACTACATATGCATTTTCTTTGCTTAATGATGTCCTCATTTGTTAAAAAATATTAGACGGTAAGGGGGAGGGGACAATGAAAGAATAAATATATATGTACTATAATATAATGTCGTTGTTGAATAAGAAAGAGTCGTAAATATGAATTTTAAACAACAGTTGCATGTTTTATTTAGTTTAACTGAAAACTTGTATTGTACATGGAACAGAATAAACGTCGAAGTGTTAACAAATTTTATGTATTTAAAATTAGAACACTATTAGGCCGTTTTAATGTTTAATACATATGTAGTTTGACAACAATTAGAGTCAGATATGTGATAAAAAAAGATAATACACATGTGTTCATGAAAGGAAATATGCAGAAAGCACAGCGGAGAAAATTCTGCGACGTAAAACAAAGCATGTAGTTGGGACGCAGTCAGTGCGCGACATGATTTTGATCAGAGTTTTTGTTGCAAAACAATGACGTCGCTTTTTCTATTGTGAAGTAAAATTCTGTCAGATTACATAAGGGGGGTTTTTGCTTGGAACGGCTCATATAATATATAGGCATGGATATAAAGTCATATATCAAAAACGCTTTTGTTACCTTTCATGGAACAAAGGCCTATCAGCTCTATGATATTAGGATGCTTCCCGACATACATCATATGGTCCAGCTCCAACTGCAGGGCCTCTTGTTCTTCTCTAGTGGCCTCCTCTGAAATTAATGACATCATATTAGAGATTCTTGAAAGAGCGCTTCTGGGAGATAATTCCTGGAGGTGCCTGATTAGGATAAAATGTTTCGCACTAAATATATAGCTTCGTTTCTGAACGAAATATACTAGAATTTCAATTAAAGTCGACGCCGATGCAGATAATACAGTAAGGGTTAACGTTGTGGTATATCTTAAGGAAAGTCGCGCTCTTCTAATTGAAAAAAAAGAGATTAGATGAGAAATTATTTATTCTGTTAAAGAAACTTTTCCGTAATATAACATGTATAATATAAACACGTTGTTTCACAGTTATATATTTTTGTACATATTACCAAAGGAAAAAAGTCTTAAAACTAGCTTGCAAAATACGTTTTCAAGTTCATTTCGTTTTTTTTTTTCAAATCTGTAAACATGGTAAATGATGGTCAAATAGCAGTAAAGTACGTGTAGTTCGACTTAACTCGGGAGAAAAAACTAAGATGTAAATTCTCAGTTCAATTATAGTTTTCATACATTTGGTGCATTTTTGTCCCCCGCTTTCGCGAAATCGAGGGGACATTAAATCTCATTCGTCTGTCCGTCTGTCCGTCAGTCTGTCAGTCTGTCCGTCTGTCCGTCCGTCACAAAAACTTTAACCTTGCCCATAACTTTTGATTTCGTGGAGCTATGACTTTCATATTTCACATATGTATTCCTTGTGATAAGACCTTTCTTTGGGTACCACCAAATTTGACCTTTTGACCTTGACCTTATAGTTTGACCCACTTTTACACAAAAAAATTCATACTTTTACTTTGGCCATAACTTTTTAATCGTAGATACAAGGACTTTTATATTTCACATATATATTCTTTGTGACAAGACCTTTCATTGGATACCAACAACTTTGACCTTTTGACCTTGACCTTGGAGATTTCCGAACTTATGAAAAAACTTTAACCTTGACCATAACTTTTGAACGATACGGACTAGGGCTTTCATACTTCATATATGTAATCCTTGTGAGAAGGCCTTTCATTGGATACCAAGAACTTTGACCCATTTACCTTGACCTTGGAGTTTGACCTACTTTTAAAAAACTATGACCTTTGCCATAACTTTTGAACAGTAGATACTAGGACTTTCATATTTCACATATGTATTCTTTGTGGCATTACCTTTCATTTGATATCAACAACTTTGACCTTTTGAAGTTGACCTTGGAGAATTTTTGTTCTTATGAAAAAACTTTAACCTTTACCATAACTTTTGAATGGCAAGGGCTGGGGCTTCCATACTTCACATATGTATTCCTTGTGAGAAGACATTTGATCAGATACCAAATACTTTAACCCTTTGACCTTGACCTTGGAGTTCAGTGATGATTTCTAAATAAATGATATATGATAGGTTGTTCGTATTACACACAATATGTCATTAAAAATGACATCTCACCCACAAAGACACCGAAAGCGGGGGACCACAATTCCTTGAATTTGCTTGTTAACTTTTTAAATATAGAAGCATAATTTTGCAAAGGACTACATAAAGGGTGTTAAGAAAGTTCATTCCACAATTTTCTTTTATTTTCGAAAGATATATAAAGTTGTGATATATAGGTTCACATTGTTCACACTTGCTACTTATGAGGTTTTAAGTGTGTCGCGTTGAAACGAAAAGGGGAAGGCAGGTATTGAAACAGATGATGTCTGTTCCGAAAAGTCGTGGATGCAGCACAACTGGACAGAGATTAAGCAGCAAAATAATATTTTCTCTCAAATGTCAATGGAACAATTATCAGGTCAGTATTCAGTATGAAAAACATATTCTTTTGAAAAGTAATAATAATAATAATAATAATAATAATAGCATTTGTATAGCGTTCCTATTTAAAATAATTTACTCTAAGGCGCTGAACAGACACTATTTCAGATATACAAGTAGTTAAATACAACACAATAATCATAAAAACATGAAACCTAAAATCATTCAAAGAGATCGTAACTAACATAAGAGTAAGCTAAAATTATAAGCTGCTAGACTAAGATCAAATTGAGATCACATTAAAAATTTCACACAATAAAGGTTGTGCCCAAATTAAATAGTCTGAGGACAATAAAACTCGATAACTTGTTCAAAATAAAAAATTACACGTCGTATGCTATCTTAAAACGATGAGTCTTAAGATCTCGTTTAAAAGCAAAAAGTGACGTCTGGAACCGGAGAGCATCCGGTAAACCATTCCACAAAGTTGCCGCTGCATGGTCAAAACGACGCGTTCCGTATGTCTCCGTGCGAACACGAGGTTTCACAAGTTGTTTGGAGTCATACGAGCGTAGAGTTCTTGACGGTTGATAGACTGTTATGAGTTCCTTTAGGTATGATGGTGATGTCCCCTGGAGTACTTTGAAAGTGTATAAAAGGATCTTATAATATGTTCTAAATTTAACTGGAAGCCAGTGAAGAGATATCAGAACTTCGGAGATTTGCTCTTGCTTCCTAGTTCGGGTGACAATCCTTGCTGCCGTATTTTGTACTCTCTGTAGCCGTGATATATTTGTCTCTGTAATTCCATAGAGTAGTGCATTTCCATAATCAAGTCTTGATGTTACTAGAGCGACAACTAGAGTCTTACAAGCATCTTCTGTTATGAATGGACGAATTCGACTGATATTTCGTAGGTGGTAAAAACAGGATTTGGACACTGCGCTAATCTGAGTCTCCATGGTAAGTGATTTGTTGAAAAACACTCCCAGATTCTTCACACAATCTGATTCACAGATGACAGAACCATCAAAATCAAGTTGGTGTGTAAAAGATCTTTTAAGCTGACTCTTTGGTGTAAAAACAATGAACTCAGTTTTATCCTGGTTCAATTTTAGTAGATTTGCGCACATCCAGCTTCTCACGTTAGCTAAACAAGTTTCTAGTCGACTTTTTAAATCTGGCCATGTTTCGTTCGGTTTTATAACAAGGTATATTTGTGTGTCATCTGCATAACAGTGGAACAGCATGCCATGATCACGACAAATTTTACCGATAGGTTTCGAGAAAAGGCAATACAAGACTGGTCCAAGCACTGAGCCTTGTGGTACTCCGAACCGCAAAACAAGATCTTCGGAAGCACTCCCACCAATGACTACTCTTTGTGTGCGCTGTGTCAAGTAGGATTCGATCCATTCCAGAGCTGCCCCAGAAATTCCAAAAGAGAACCTGAGACGTCTGAGTAAGATGGTATGATCGATCACATCAAACGCAGCAGACAAGTCCAGCATCACTAGGGCCATACAGGAATTTTTATCAAGCGCTGATACAATGTCATGATGAACTCGAAGGAGTGCCGTCTCTGTAGAGTGGCATGCTCGATATGCCGACTGCAGTGGTTCCTGTAGATTGTTCACTTCCAGATGATGCTTTAGTCTTTTTGATACTACCTTTTCGAGTATTTTTGAAATAAATGGTAAGTTGGAAACTGGTCTATAATTTTTCAGTTCATTACAGTCAAATTCCGGTTTCTTCAGAATAGGGCGAATTATAGCCTCTTTGAAGGTTGTCGGTACTGAAGATCCAGATAATGATTTGTTTATTATCACTGTTATTAAGGGAAGCAACTCTTCAATGCATGGTTTAAGTAAAGATGTTGGGATTGGGTCACTCTCACAAGACTTCGTTGGTGCTCCCATGATGATATCATAGATCTCCTTATTTGTAGCTTCAGTGAAAACAACACGTTTCTGACCCACATATTGAATATCACTCTTTAGTGCCTTGCTAACATTAACTTGCTTAGATTTACTAAGTTCAGCTCTGATCGTTTCAATTTTTCCAGTAAAAAACTCACAAAACCTATTTGCTAACATCTCTTTGCTGTCATGTGCTGGAAAGACAGTCTCCTTAACCCTCCCCATGAGATTGTTAGTTAGGTTATATAGTTGTATTTGGTCATGTCCAATTTCCAATATCTTTGTGGAGTAGTAATCCTGCTGCGATTGCAGCAGCAGTTTTGAATAATCGGTACACAATTTTCTGTAAATTTGCTTGTGTATCGTTAAGTCAGTTTCACGCATTTTCCGCTCCGCTTTTCTACGAGCCTGCTTGGCTGCTTTTAAGTTGGCGTTATACCATGGTATTTTTGGTCTTATGATTATTTCTTTTGTCTGAACAGGTGCATGGCTGTCAAGGATACATTTTAGACTGGTAAACAACCTTTCTTTGGATACATCAGATATATGAACCCTGTTACACTGTATATATACTTTATATTAGTTGAGGTCACCACATTTATCATAAAGATTTGTCTTAGGTTACCATTAGGGTCTTTCTTCTGGTTAAATATTCAAATATAAAACAGATGTGTCAGACTCTGCGGTATCTTTTAGTTCAAACTCACCGGGATGTATTGTGTCGACATATATAATTATATATTTACATCCACCGAATATTTTCTCCTTTATTTCTTCAGAAAACCCATTGCGTTAATCACTGCATGAACTACATTAGGCACGTCGCCTGTACAGATTTTTTGATCAGTGGCTGTTCCATCAATGAAACGTATAAAGACGTCCGCTTACGCGGGCTATGTATTTTTTCTGCAACAGCTGCTCCCGTTAATTCCAGTAATAACAAAGAAAGAAAGCAACAACAATTATTAGAATAATGTATTTAATGCGATAATGTTTTGAAGTTTCCAGTAACATGTAGGTTGGTGAATTGTGAAAATTCTCAGATCCACACCTTGTCTGATGATTTAATTGTAATAAAAGGTGTAAGGTCACGTGGTTAGCACAGTGAGTAATTCACATTCGCACGCTCACCACCGCTCACATGAGGCACGTCTATTTTGAAGACCCACCTCCACCCCAGCATTCCTATCCCTTAATATGATGATTAACGTGTCTTGTAAAATAACATATTTTATGAGAGTTTTACTCAGTTGTTTTACTGCTTCTATGTATTTTGTTTTGATTATTATCTTTTTGCAAACATTTTCTGAGGTTTTGATTGTCTTACAGATACTTTTTTCTAGTCATTTTTGGGGGATCAGACATTATCATATTTTACGTAACTGATAAGCAAAGCTTGTGAATCTGATCCCCTTCTTGTTTGTTAAATTGTTCACATTTATACCGTCATTTTAATAAATGACATTATTCATCAACATGAAAGTGTTTTATTTCACTTTTACAAAATTAGCAAAAACAAGCTGCGGTGATCTTGCCTATAAGCATTAGAAGACATAAATTTTATTGTTTAAATAATTAGAAAATTGTCATATTATATAGTAAGGAAATTGTCATAATCATACAAATGACTTAATAATAATCAGAAAAATATACCCTTTAGTCTTTTAATGGCCACCTTTTTTGCATTTTCATCTTTCGTGTCACGTAGATATCCCTCATGAACCATTCCAAAGGCTCCACGCCCAATCACCTTTCCTACTTTGAGCTGACCGGAAGCCACCTTCAGTCCTTTGTAATAATTCTCCAGTTTGGTAGAATAAATCAGAGAATCATGACGCTCTTCGTACTGGTAAGATGATTTACACTAAAAACAAATTTGTAGATTTATAATAAAAATAAATTTCTTGGTGTTTTTTTTTTCTTTTTACTGAACACAATAATTTCAGCATCATTATGCAAAGAACATACATTCAAACTTTTTTTCAAACTCAGTGGGATTGATGAAAAATTCGAGATATTCGAATATTTGAGGTATCACGGGAAAATATATAAAGAAGAAACTGTTGTGACTTCAAATAACTTCGTCATGATATTTGAGATGAGGAATTTCATTTGTATACTCACAAATTTTTAGAGTAATTAGTAATTTTTAAATGATTGCTTATCATTCCTAACAAAAGAGAATATTTGTTTTGTTTACAACCTTCTATCTTGATTAATGATACTACTTTTAAAACTTTTTTTCTACAATAAAGCCCTGAAAAAGTGAGATACGTTTTTCTGCCTCAAGTTTCAGAAAATGTAATGAAGCATCCCTTGAAAACTAGGGTCTAACAAAGTGATAATATTATTCAGCAGAATGAAGTATATGGAGATAACGAACATTATTCAATCTCAAAGTCCATAGAACAATACAAAATAGGAGCAGAGCAAACACGGACCTCTAAAGCAACAGAGGTGGGATCAGGTGCCATGGAGGAGTGAGCATCCCCTGCCGACCGGTCACATCCGCACTGTGCTCCTTATCATGATCGGGAAATAACGGTAAAACCCGTCGTCAATTCAGTGTATAAATAATGGCTTAACATTTAGTATGAAAAACGTCAGTCAGCAATTGTTAAATAGAACTTAAGTAAGATCTTAGAAAATTTAGATTTAAAAATAGAAATTATCAGATAAACAATACTAACCGTTAGCAGTTTCGGAAATTTTAAATGTGTTTGATGTTTTTGTTTCCATTTATAGACTGAAAATCCAGTACCGACACAGAATAGAACAATAGCAATTCCAACGATGCCAAACACTACATCATCTTTCAAAAGAAATATTTTATAGATAAAACGACCATTTAATGAAATATTGGGTATAGTTTAAAGCTCGATGTAATTGAAGAATATCATACACATATATTGTAGCAAAGTTCACCATCATACTAATCCTAGTTAAAATTTCTCTATTACAGTTGTTTCAATTGCCAATATAAAAATGATATTCTTGCTAAATTAAGATTGAAATACTGCCAAATGTGTGTTACGCAATTAATAGTCAATCTATCTAAATAATAATTCTACTTTTAAAAAACTTCAAATTGCAGAATTGCAAGAGTGAGAAACTGATCATAATGCTAGAAAACCGGGTATACCTGGTGTTTTCGATTTGTTTTCATGTTCTGTCAATTGGTCGTTCTTCTTTGGTGCAGAAGTAACCCGTGGCTCCATACCTAATCAAAGTAAGTTTTAATCTTACAGAAAGAAAATAATATATAAGATGTTTTTCTGATCCTTTCCCTAAAGAAATGATCAATTATTGATTGTTTCCTTCATATGCAAAATGATTTTACCTTTTCTTTCCATAATAAAGAACATTTATCAATCTTTCTCTTACATGTATAAAGAATTAGCCATACCTTCGAAACATAATTTGCTAAAATATGAACTATTTGCCATCCTTACATGTACCTTATAGAATTGACCCTTTAGGGATTATCGATAATTTTATGCATTATAGTTTTGTCACTCTCCAATTTTATTCACATAATATTTAAAACATTAATTACAATTTTTTTTAGTTTTACTTTTAAAGAAACCAACAAAAAAACTCAATTGGAGAAAAGAATAAAACATGTCACTATATGAATCAAGTTAAATTTGTTATAAATTTCACGTGTCCTTTTGCTTGCAAATCAAAATCAAAAGAACTTTCTTGAAATACTATTCATTCAATTTTCTTCAATTTCTATTTATTATCTTCACTTTGTCACTTCATAATAAATTAAATTAAAATTGTATTAAATTCACTCAAAGATGCCTAAAAAATTAATTACGGAAATGTGACAAATATATTTTGTACGAAAAACTTTAAGCATGCATCCAGTCTCTTTTATTTGTCTTCTAGTATTTGGTTAGTAAAATATTTATAAAGTTAACTTTCTTGTATGTAGGTCAAGTGAAAATGAATATAAGACACAAAAATAAAACAGACACAATACGTGTTTTTATCCTTAAAAGCAATATAAAATGTTATAGCCAAATAATACAAAACTGTGATAACACTCAAAATGATACATAAAGACATTTGTGAAATTTATACCAGAAATCAATTTTGGCTTTCCTATAATTGATATGTTCCTCATCGGTGATACAGCTGGTCCTATGCCTACAAATTTTTTCATTAAAACGATATAAATTTTAATAAGAATTAGTATTTTTTTAAGCTCGGTATCCCTACTTTAATTTGATCTTCAAAAATTGCTTTCAAAATTTACACATGAGAGAATTATCAGTGAGATATCGGTTGATTTTATTTTTTTTAATGGTAAAAATAACAATATAATTATAAATGGCGATTGAAAAATTCTCTTTAAATATGAATGCACTAAATTAATCATCAAAAGTCTCTTTGATGGCACTCGGGATTGACACAGATCTATATTATCTGTGCTTATGGCGATATTCAGTACGTTTTGGTCAATCAATGAGATGAAACAGCTCTTAAAATGTAATGTAGATTATTGGTAAACTGTGTTTTTAAATTTATTTTGAAATGAAATGTATTCATTAATATATAAAAATAAGCAAAACTATTACATTTTAACTTAACTTGGTTTTAAAGATAGAAATCAATAGTGTATACCTAATCTCACGATTTCCTCATTTTCATAACGTTGGCATTTTCTTTTTTGATCGGAGAGTATTTTGAATTCTCCATACTGACAGACACAATGATCAGCCGAGGTACTAGCTCTATGACTGGTTGAGTACTGTGGACAGGTTGTACATGGTGCCTGGCCAACGAAAGACTTGAATGACCCTTCTGGGCATTCTGTAGACAGTAAAAAAGATCATAATTACATGTATAAAACATCTTATTAGTTCATTGCCTGAAACTGCTTTGTATGATGTGCAATTGAAAGAGTATTAGCCAATGTCATATATACTGTAATGAAAATTACTCAAATGTGACGTTGGTTAACATACAAAATTTATTCTTACGTTCGCAGACTCCATCTACAAGAGTGTGTCCTTTTTGACAAACACAGCCTGAGGCCCCGTCAAATAGAGGATGTGATCCCTCTGGGCAGGAGGAACACTGACGTGTTTGTAGGTCAGCAGAATCATCGTAGCAGGTAACTAATAAACAAAAAGTTTGTGAGCCAATGTTCACCAGTAATACCCCCCCGCTGGCTGTGATGTGGAAATCAAATTCGTACAAAAATAAATCTAACAATATTGTATGCCTAAACAAAGTGAGTTCTGAAATTTCATCATCTACGATAAGCATTTGTCGAGATAACTGAGACGGAATTCTGGTACGGACAGACGTGCGTACAAACAGGGCAGCTTTCCGTCGGAGCGAAGTAGAATAAGTTATGACGTTTTAACGATGAATTTTACAACACAAGTATTTCATTAATTATTATGTAAGAATGGTTTCTCTTGGTTTTGATAATTTTTAATAGATAAAATCAACAATTCATTACCTTTACATAATCCAACACTCGCAGTACTGCAATAACATTGTTCTTTACAACCTCGAAAAGAAAAGTTTAACGTTATATATGAATTAATCATGACTAAACAGTAAAAATGCAATGTATGGAGATAGTGAAAAGTAATTAAGCTTAACTCTTTACAACTTACTGAATTGTTTTGCAACATACACTGAATCCTCGCGTTATAGAAATATTAATTTACCATTTCCCCGCAAGCACTTTACAGCGGGCTACATGTTTCTCTAACGTTTAGCGTAAATATTTTTTTGACCTTATATTTTAATTAGAAAATAATTTTTCTAATTATATGAGATTTAAGCAAGTATAAAATAGTTGAAATTTGGCAATAAATTGAAGATTAAATGAACTTGTTAAAGTGCGTGAAAATGCGTGATTGCGGGGAAACGGTAAATGCGTGATTCTGCGTTAGAAATAGGAAATGGTATATGCGTTAAAATGCGTGACTGCGGGGAAGGGGGTTAAAGTCGATTTAAACAATACAAATCTGAAGTAGAGCTAAGAGGAACCTCAAACGCGTACAACAAAATCAGCATATACCTAAAATACAGTAAATTTCCGAATGGTTCTACTTACTAATTTACCGTAAATTCTCGCGAGTCACGTGACGAGACATACAGACCCTATAAAAATAAACTGATATTGGATTTTTGACCAAAATCTTTTAATTTAAAACATACCACAAATTAAGTTATTCAGATCAAAATTCTCCATTAAAAGACTGGTTCCATTCTGAAAGCACATCAGAGCACATTCCTTTGTGTTGTTATGCAATTTGCACCTTTTCTTTTGCCACGATATTAACCACCAATTTTGGCAGCTACATGTTAGCGGATTGTCATGCAAAATTCTAAAATGAAGTGAAGAACATTATATCATATTTGCATTCGATACAGGCAGAAAGTCCTACACATAAAATGTATTCATTTTGTGTGTCTTTAATATGATTTAATCATAGCGTTAATTATCATTTTTATATATATATATTTACAGAGAATGTAAAGTGTGAATGTGTAGAAGCATAATACATTAATGAATGTATTGGAACGTTAAAGCACCATGACGTTGTTCCACAATCCTTTAACATGTTTAAATAATCAAGATCTCCGAAGAAGGATTTCGTAAATGTATACGCATTATATACATACATTTGACCCAAGTCCATCAAATGAAACTGAATTGACATTTCTTCCGGCAGATTGTTGATTTTATTCCCTGACAACAGCCTAAATTAAATAAGATTCTGATATTCTTAAAACATCTTTCCATCTTTAATGTCATTATCTATTTTATGACTCATGTCACATAATGAAGGGTGATTAAATAATGTGATTAGATATTTTCCTTTTCGGATTCATAAAAAAATATTGATTAATAAGAAGGTTTTTCAGAGTAAGTCTAGAATTATCATAACCAAAAAAAAAAAAGAAAGATTTCTTATATTACAACCTGTGAAGGGGTGTATAAGAATTACCTACAACATTGAAAGATGCTGCAGACCATCAAAGGCATTGCTCGCAATTGTTCGGATTTTATTATTGGACAGGTATCTGAAAAAAAGAGCTCTGTTGAAGAAAATAATAATATTTGATAAATCTACAGTACATTCAAGTTATCAAAATCCGATGATTTAGAACCTGAAGATGATCTCTATATTTTCATAATTCTTTGAATCCTACCTTATTCCTGAATGTTTAAAAAGATTCCTAGAGACCTTTTTCGGAATTTTCTTAATCGATTCCAATGTTTACTATTTAAATAATATGTAATTAATTTTTACAAGCAGTTTTTTATGAACTTAATATTTATTATTTATCTATTTATTTGTCTTTTATAGATATCGATGAATGTGTACTTACAAGAATTTTATTGAGGATAAGGCACTGAGAGAAGGAATAAATTGAATATTGTTAGCACTTAGATCTCTGGAAAAGAAAATGAAAGATATTAATGCATCTGATAAATAATTTTGTACACATAATCAAAAAAACATAAAGGGAGAGAGAGAGAGAGAGAGAGAGAGAGAGAGAGAGAGAGAGAGAGAGAGAGAGAGAGAGAGAGAGAGAGAGATTGGAATTGGATAAAATATTAGATTTAATTTAAAAAAAAATAATTTTCAAGTGACATTATACTTACAAGAGTTTTAAATTCTTTAGAACTTTTAAGGAGACGATCGGAATATTCTCGAAAAAATTATTTTCTAGGTACCTGTTAAGTAAATCTCTTGAATATGAAGGCAATTATTTCATGTAAAATTCCGAAGAACATGAATATTAAATTGAAAAAAAAAGTGAAAATTGTTTTGGTAACTTTACATTTATCATGGTTATTACTGATTCAAAATGATTGCAGAATCATAATGTTAACGTTTATTAGTAACTACATTCTTGTTTATATATTTAAGCAATGAATCATTTTTTTTTTAAGATTTAGTCTCATAACTGCAACGGTGTGTGCAAACAAATAGCACGAAATGAAAATTTGTTTGCGCACACCGTTGCAGTTATAAGACTACTGTAAAATCACATATTTTCAAGAGATCAAATTTTCGTGGTTTGAAGAAAATACATTGGTTCATGGGAATTTGATTTTGTGGTTGAAGAATTTTTCAGTAGTAATTAATATATGTGAAAATTTGCATTTGGTGGTGGAGATAAATTCGTGGTTCTCTTCATTCCTTGAAAACCATGAAATTTAAATCCCCACGAAAATTAGTGATTACAGTATATCTTTTAAAAAACAATGATTCACTGCTGAAACCCAATTCTTTTAACTCTTTGCATTGACTTCAAATGTGATTTATATTTTAAAACACACGTTTCACCCCTCGAATAAGCTACGGTTAATAAAGGAGCCAACGTAACAGCTACTGGTCAATGTGAGCATAATTTTTGATTTTCGCTTATGACGTTTCACCTCCTTGGTGTCCAACAATTGTTATGTCTCTATAAAAAGCATGTTTTAACCTTTTGAACCCCTTTCTGTGTTATGATGTTTAGAATGCCATAGATTTCCATACACTTTATATGCAAAAACATGTGTAATGTAAATATATGGACTAGGGAAAAGGGTCAGAGCAAAGTTAACTTTCTCTTAGTCAAAATCTAAAGTACTAGAAGAGCTACGAGTAACTTACAAGGAAACTAGTTCAACGTTTGACAAAAATAAGTTCTTCTTTAGCTGTTTTAGTTTGTTGTGACACAGTTTTCTACAAAAAATAAAACCGTAAAAAATAATACCCATTTTTGTATTTTCTACTGATATTCTTCGTTATTATTTCTCTGATATTAACATTTAAAAGTTATTAAAATTAGTGTAGAAATTAAACATCAACCATGTTTCCTTTAAAAATCAAGAAATACAATCCTTTTACAAATTGCAAGAACTTGACTTAATTAAGCTTTATTAGATTTTTTCCTAAAGATTTAATCTTTTTATATCTGTATGAAAAAAAATAATAAAGGATAAATATGTACATACAAAATCCGAAGTTTCCAAGCGTCGGTGAACGCTCTCTCATCAATATTTTGAATTTTATTATGACAAAGGTCTCTGCAAAGGAAATAAAATATTGATGTTTCAAGGCCCACTTTCATACAACATGCTTTGAAAAAGGCATGACAATTTTTTTTTTACAAATCCTCTGGCAATAAAGGGTTAACTTGAATATAGCCATCAACTGCAAATTATTATTGAAGAGATTGGGCCTATTCTTAAATATCTATTCACTTTTCAAAGAAAAATAGTTTTCTTTCTTTTTTGTTATCTTATTCCCTTACCCTCTGTATTGGCTTTTCAAAATGATTTAGCCAACTCTGACTTTTTGACGCAGACGAAGAAATCATTTTTAATTTTTTTTTCCTTATGCATTGCATGTTGTGCATAATTTAAAAATGTTATGATTAGTAACATGATTCTTTGATTAATTATTGTTTTACGCCCTATTCGAGAATTGTTAACTCATGTAAATCGTCACCATAAACCGATGATGGGTTAAAAAAAAATGGATCTATGCTCGGCTTTCATGACCATTGAGCAGTGAGGAATCTTTATCGTGGCAACGCTTGACGTGACATTGGACCTTGGTATTAATATTCCATGTTGAATGACCTGCATTTTTCACTCCAAAGTCCCGATCACGCAGCGAAAGAATAGTTGCTACCTATGTTTATTGACTTTGGTCAGTCACGGCGTTTTTTTAATCCACAACTCTTCCGATCACAGAGTGAGAGCTCTATCAAACTGGCTACCATGAGAAGATCAATATATAATAGTTTAATAAATAATGAATAGTTGAAATTGATGACACATTATGCTTAAAGGATGGAGAGGTAAATAAAGCCACTATTCTTCCTGAACAAATATATATATATATATACATGTAATATTCATAATCCCTTTATCCGCGTATTGATGTTCTTTTTCTCTAAAATAAAAACTTCAGGAATCTAACCCAGACACTGAGACATTTATGACGCCTCACAGACAACTTAAAAGTACGAATTTCAAAAGATGTCATCAAATCGACTAATTTATTTCACAACTCTACAAAATCTGGCTTACTGTACAAGACTCTACTTACAGCTGCTGTAGCATCACCAGACTCTGAAATGTGTCTTCCTGGACAATCGTGATATCGTTGAAAGTAACGGAACTACAATTTTATGTAACAGATTTATAATTACAACATTAACAATAGCAATTTCCTCATCCGGTAACTTTTTCTAGTTAAAACATTCTCTAATTAATGTGTTATCCATCACGTGCTTCACTCCCTTAAAATGAATACATTGTATGTGTAGGACTTATAGTCTGTATTGATTAAGCATTAGTGTTAATTTCGTCAAAGAATTGTCTTATACCAAGACTTGTACATTTTACTTTGATACTTTTTAGTTTTTTTTCTTTGTTTTTAACGTCTAGGTCGGGTCGATAAAGTGTAAATTTGTCGCACTTCTAAAATCAGACTTTAATTTGTAACCAGTGAGAAAGCAGGTTTTTATGTGATAAGTAAAGGTTCAACATATCTCACTTATATTATTACGGTATCAAATAGTCCATAATTTTAAAAGTATTTATTTTTCCTTTACATCATAATCTTTACCTCAAAATATTAAACTGATAAAAATAATCTAAAACCTTTCCAATTCTCGGTGTAATATTTTTTTTTAATTTGAATAGAATGCAGAAGACATGCAATATTTGACAATTTTATTTTAAGCCATAAAAATTGCCATTTTACAGACTTCAAAGCAATTTTCTTTCTATTTTTTATGATGTGATAATCCTTAATTCTTATTGATTTTAGGCTTAAACACGTTTCTATTTGAAACATTAAAGACTTGAAAGCGGAGACATTTTAATATAACATCTATAATAAAAAAGGATCAAACGAAGAGAGCCTGGGTAAAATTATACGCTTACATTGAGTATATCTTCTTTTTGCTGACAAATAAAAACGGCTGTAAAGCTTCCCTGAGATTCAGAATGGAACAGTTCTTCAATGATCTGTTTAAACAATAGCATGTTTAATACTAAGCTGCATAACAAAAAACAAATAATGATCATTAAAACTTCTCTTCAAAGGTCTTACTGTTTAATTAGAGTTAAAAAAAGAGCTTTCCTATCCATCTACGGGCCTTATAGCCTCAAACTTGGATAGGAGAAAACGCAAGATGCCATTAAAATCAGACAATAAATACATGAATAAATGTTAAAAATAATTTTGCAAAAATATACCACTGGATGAAAAATAGATTAATGTAAAATCTAACATTTCTTTCCCCTCGAAAAAGTATTGTTATAAAAAATATGATAAAACATTTTTCATAGAAAATTGGCAGATCCTTATCGTTTACTTTAAAATCTGAAAAAAAAATTCGTCAAGACCTTTCAATTCTACGAAAACTTGCGTTTAAAGTAAACATTTGTAGCTCAATTTGTAGCTCGTTTTCAGAGTTTTTCAAAATGTTAAACGTTTACTCAAAATTCTGTATAGATTTTTTTTAAAGTGATATAAAGTTACAAAAATGATATAAAGTCACAAATTAACATCTCTGGAAAAAGAAAATAAGTGGAAGTAAAGAATGCCAAAAAAAAAAAAAGAATCGATAAAAGACTTCCTAAATATCGACGACCTGGTTAAGAAACAAGACTTCAATTAGAGGAAGGGGATTTCTGGCTATCACTTTGTGTAATGAACATAGCCAAAAAGATATTTAAAGATTACAAGCGGTAATCAAGTAAAAAATTGTAATTATATAATGAAAATGGAGATGAAAGCAAAAATGTCCTCTGGAAACACCAGAGTTAAGATCGGGTGCCATTAACGAAAGAGTACCTCTTGTAAAATTGACTCACCGTTCTTGAGTCAAAAGTTTTGATGACGTACACGGAGTACACGAAAAACAAGTGGTATGAAATGACAGTATATCATTTCTATTAGAAAAATATTGGTGACATTTGACTATGTTACAAGCTGGTTTCTGTACGACAAATAGTTGAGATTAACCATGAGAAACCTCATTCTGTAACTAAGGTGGATTTTCCTGCATTCTGCTTCGACTTAAAGATCAAACATACCCTGGTACTCTAAAAAATTCTAACTTTATCTTCAATATTCAAGAAAAGAAGCAATATTGTTGTTTATAAATGAAAAATATTGCATCTTTAATCGAGAAAATTCCGAGTAAAAATGTTCGAAAGCAAACCCACTCACTAATATTGTCAACCCATGCTCTATGTCATGTACAGAGTTTAACAATCTGAATACACCGATGAGAACGTTTACTGTTTTTGTAAACAGGGCACGAGCTCTTTTATTTTTAAATATTACGATTAACCGGGTGTGGTCAATTGTTGAACTCCTCGCACATCACTGGGCACGGACTGACAATACTCAGTATTGTGATAAAACTTTGCTTTGTCACATTTCAACTCGGAATTTTCTGAATAATAGTTTAAATATTTTTTTTTTTATAAATACACAACAAAAATGCTAATTTTCCTAAGTATTTAAAATAAAATTAAAATTTGTGAAAGTGCAAGGATGTGTTAATCGGACACGTTAAAAAACTGAAATAAGACTTTTATAATATTTAACTACAAAATGCTATAACAACATATATGTCATGAAATTATACAGAAACTTTGATAAAATATTAACTTTAAATTTGTGTCCAAGCACCTTTAACTGGGGCCTTTAAATTTTCATATGCAGAGAAAAAATGAATAGTTTGAAATATCGTAAATAATGGAAGTTTAGTACGGTGATAGTTGAAGTCATCATTAAGTTTATCTTTATGTGGTAATAGCTCAAGCAAATAACAAAATAAGACACCAAGATGATAAATTAAAATAATTATAAATAATATCAAGAACAACATCTATTTTTATAAAAATTTTATCAGAAATGATACAAGACATATGTGTTTACCAAATATGTTCCGCAATTTAGACAATAAACAAAATAGATGAGCCTAAAGTATATCATGTACTTTGTCGTGACTTTGTAATCAGTATTACTCAAAGGAAAATAAATTAATAAATCTCTCTTTTTGCACTGATAAAACGCGAATCAGTAAACCCATGCTTATTTTTATGGAATATGTAACCTAGATGCAAATACATAGTAGATTAGCATTAATCAAATAATTAAAGACTCTAAATAACACAGACCAGGTAAAACAAATTAATGTCACTAAAAGACTTACAGATCGAGAAGTCGTGGAAAATTCCCATGTAATTGGTACATACGTGTCAGAGATGTATTTGTCATTCTTCTGAAAATATGGAATATTAACGTTAATATAACAACATCTTAATCCCTTCATCTGAGAATAGACAAGATGGTACTATTTGATAAAGGTGAATTATCTCAATTGATTGATAGTAATTTGATTCGAAATCCACATTTCAAAATAGATATTCAGTGCAAAACTGCAGAAGTACAATTAATATGGTAAAAAATAAAAGGATAAGTTTGTAGTCAATTAAACATGATTTTCATATTTCACAAGTAAATTTCTTATGAAAAAGTTTTTCACTGGATGCCAAAACAATTTACCCTGGAGTTTTACATACGTTTGCAAGAATTTACAAAAGTTTAATTTGGTTTTTATTTTAAAGAAGTTAGTGATAGCACCATCCTTCTACACATGAGTATACTATGTTACGAGAAATTTCTGTTTCAAATAATATTTTTACTGTGAAATCACAAATTTTCTTGGAAGGTTAATTTTCGTCGTTTCGAGGTGTGAAGAGCCTCAAGAATTCATGTCCACCAATATTTGTAAAATGTTTCACTACACTTATTCATCCAAGAATCAAATCCCCACAAACCAAAAGTGTTTTCTCATACAACGAAAATTTAATCCCACAAATATATGTGACTTTACAGTAGCCTTTTGAGTTTTAATTTACTTTATGCTTTGACCCATTAGAAAAACTTTTACCTTGGACATAAATTTTAAACACTCAGTGCAAGAATCTTCATCTTCCACGGTTACATTACTTACAACAGAGTCTTTCTTTGGATTTCAACATTTTTAATTGAGGCCTTCATGTTAAAATTTGCGTTTGAAAAACTTAAACATTGACCTATCCTTTAAACAGTCGGTATTATGGCTTTAATGTCTTTTGACAAGACCTTCTACGGGGTACCTTTAAATTTACTTTGACGTTTTAACCATTTAAAAAAAAAATCTTAACCTTGGTCAAAACCTTTGAATGGTTAGTTACTGTTAGTGCTTGCCAATAAGCTGTAATATTTCACAGCAATATTTCCTGTGAAAGTACTCCTTGTCTTTGGTTTACACAATTTTTCATTGATCGACCTTGGAGTTTGATTTGCAAATAAGAGACTTTAATTTTCCCTACAAGTGTTTTACAGAAACATCTTATTTTCTCACAATAATTCTCGTTAGACGAACTGACCAGTTATCCCGGGGAGTCTCAATTACTACAAATCAGCTAATTAGATTTTGGTTAACGCTAAAATACAAATTGCAGTGCAAAATTTTCTTTCTTAAAAAAGAATTTTTAGAAAATGGTGTTTAATTCAACATATATTTTTCCCGACTAACTGACTACCGATTTTCTAACCTATTGATACCGATTACCATGTAACCGATAACTCAGTCGTTCTTACCAAAGACATATCTATTATATGTCTCTGTTCCGACCGAGTAATCGGTTACGTGGTCACAAATTGAAATTCTTAATATATACACACTAGTATACAAACCATACATGTACATTTGCCTGCTGTTACAATATAGTTATTTATGCTTCAGGATCCTTTATATATGTTATATAGATGATATAGATATGAATGGTTGATACAATGTACGGGACTATGCACATCACCGGGAGATAGTAGGTTAAAACATGACTTTTTTGGCAATTTTTATGATGTGAAAAATCAGGTACATAAAATATCGAGAATCTGCTTTTGAACTTGTTTGACAAATAAGAATAAAAATAAGAAAAATTCTTCTTCTTTTTTTCTATAGTACTTCAATATTAGTTGTAAGGATGGATTCTGAGATCATTTGACGAGTCCTCCTGATCCTTAATAGACTACCCTTTGACACCTTATTCTATTCGGGAGATAACAATATACAGCCAAAAAAAAAAAAAAAAAAAACACAAATAAATATACATACCCGGTACATAAAAGTAATGGATAAAAGAATAGAAAACAAAATAAGACAGAAAAAAATTAATGGATGATTCACAGCTTTAGATATACACGTACTGTATACAGTCAAATTTTCGCCCCCATTTTGTTTTGCCTCTTTTGCCCTAACCTCATTTAAGCAAATTTAAGACAGCGCGAATTGAAATGAAGTAACATTTGTTAACCAAAACTAGGACTCGGCGAATTTTAAAAGGAGCAAAATTGTTTCCAAGTGTGAAAGACGGGACGAAAATAACCCTGTTTACAGGATTTAAAAAGTATTCAATGAATCATTTTTTTTCGTGAAACTCTGAATTATCATAATGAAAAAATAGTATAGTACAGAGAAACAGGGGTGAAACGTCCTGTTTCTAAGTAAAACAATTTATTAAAGTTTGAAATACTGATATTAAGCTACTGCTTTAGAAATGATATAATGAAAATGATGATACATTTTACATAAATAAAGTCTCAGTGAAAATGTTTTAAAATTTGTCTGCTCCTACATGGCACCTGATCCCACCTCTGATGTTTTAGAGGTCCGCGTTTGCTCTGCTCCTATTCTGTATTGTTTTATGGACTTTGATATTGAATACTGTTTGTTATCTCCAGATCCTTTATTTAGAAACAATAATAGTTCAATCGTAAATAGATATAATGAATCATGACAATGAACACTTAAAGATAATACCGGTAAAACTAAATAAAAACAAAATAAAGTATGTTGAAAAAGAAAGATTTCTTGATTTAATCTTTCCGCAAAAAATATTGGTAGAAAATTTCATTAAATGATTCTGACTCGTTGTCTTTCGATTACGCAATCTTAGCTGTTTAGATTAATGTTACACGAAGGAGCAATTCCATTCTATTTTTTTCACATATATAATTGCTTTATTTTCTTATAAGTATATATAAAATTAAACATGTGATCACTTTAATTTTTTCCCAGAGAATTGAAAAGGTTATAAAGAAAAATTTTCATGGTTTGAATTTATTCAAAACATTTTTGCAAAAGTAAACCTTGTGTTTTGAAATAATACACCAAAAATGGTTTCATTTCATTTCAATATTAGATAAAACTTTAGCCTCTTTGTTTGATTTCCAAATACATAGTTGTTCTTATAAAGTATGAACGAATAGGATGTTTTAAAGGTGGTATCTTAAATTCAAGCCAATTTCTATATTTATTTCTTGATTAATTTAATCTTTCCACAATAAAAAAAAATCCCGTCAAATGATTTTGACTTTCTGTCTTTTTGTTTTTCAATTACGTACTTTATGTTGTACAGACATAATGATACACGACTATAAACTTAGATCTATTTCTATTTTAATTCAAATGATCATTTAATTATAAATAACACAATTAGGATTTGTTACTTAATATGATATTTATACTTGCATTTCCTCAGTATTCTGTGGTATTTCTGCTATAACCTTGTAAACATATTCTGCCTGAACATGATCACATTTGACGTAAGGTTTCAATCCAAAAATACTTCCACATGAGCATTCCTTCGGACACACAACGGGTGTTAATGCTGAGTAATGCATCATCAAAATCTCTGTCATCAGGATTATCTGCAGTATGTGCATTTTGTGCTCCGTATCAAACCACCGCATGGCTTGACAGAGGTGTGAGTAGAATAACGTGTTCGAAGATCAATCCTCGATAACTGTGATACTTCTCACCAGCTATTATATCTTAAAGACTAGCACTCGATATATAAGGTGAATATTGATTTTTAAACATAAATCTTTTTCAAGCAAGGCAAGAATTAACTACTTAATAATATTGGAAGTATCGAACACAGGTCAATGGAAGTTGCTATGTTAAAACAAAAACTTCAATTCAAAAATCATGTACAGATCAAATATGTGTGTATTGAGCTTAAGTTTTCTAAAGGATCGTTTTAAGTTATCTTCACCTTTAACTCAACCGAGCTTTTTTTAACTACATTTTGTCCGGTGTTCATCATTCTTATGCCAGTAATAAAATTTTCACATATTTTACCTAAAAAAATAAATTGTCACAAATAATATTGAGACAAAGTTTATTTAAAAGGTCGTTCATTTAAAGGGCAAAATCTTTTTCTTTTTTTTTTGAGGGGGATATTATTTTTTGATTATAATAAAGAATAAGCGGAAATATATTGGTACTTTTTTTAAGTCAAGAGCATACAGACTATAAAAGGTAAATTTTATGTAATTACTGATCGGCAGGAAATGCTCAATCCTTCATGGCACCTGATCTCATATCTGATGTTTTGGAGGTTTGTGTTTGCTCTGCTCTTATAAAATAGACTTTTGTACGGAAGCCCAATAGTGCAAACCAAAAATAAATAAAGAAAAAACGAAAATATCAAATAAAGAGAAACGAAATTATTAAAGAAAGAAAAACGAAATTAATATATAAAGAAAAACGAAATTATTAAATAAAGGAAAACGAAATTATTAAATAAAGAAAAACGAAATTAATATATAAAGAAAAACGAAATTATTAAATAAAGGAAAACGAAATTACTAAATAAAGAAAAACTAAATTAATATATAAAGAGAAACGAAATTATTAAATAAAGGAAAACGTAATTATTAAATAAAGAGAAACGAAATTATTAAATAAAGAAAAACGAAATTAATATATAAAGAAAAACGTAATTATCAAATAAAGAGAAACGAAATTATTAAAGAAAGAAAAACGAAATTAATATATAAAGAAAAACGTAATTATTAAATAAAGAGAAACGAAATTATTAAATAAAGAAAAACGATATTAATATATAAAGAAAAACGAAATTAATATATAAAGAAACACGGAATTAATATATAAAGAAAAACGAAATTATTAAATAGATCATTTTGTTTTTCTTTATTTAATAATTTCGTTTTTCTTTATTTAATAATTTCGTTTTCTACTTTTAATAATTTCGTTTTTCTTTATATATTAATTTCGTTTTTCAAGTAGAAAACTGAAACTTAAATAAGGAATTTAGAGATATGCAAGGTAAGGGCCTGAACCCATAAATCATTAGCGCACGCGTCTGTTAGACTTGATTTTGTTTCGACAATTAACAAGTGTGATGTTTGCCTTTGCACTCACCGACTCCCAAATCAAATGCATAACCATTACAATAATTGAATGGGGAGAATTTAACCTTTGGTATCTAATAGTAATATGCTTAGATTTATGTTTTTATCTTACAATAACACGATGAATGTGAACTTAAGCCAGTCTCATAATTTGGCCATTGATTAATTCGGTGAGATGTTTACGTTAAAAATTGGTTAACATTAGCTTTCTCAAATCCTCTGCTCGAAAGGTCTAATGATCAGCAAATAATGAATCTGGACACATAAATAATCACTTTGGACATGAAACATTAAAGAGATTATCCTAATAAATTTCACAAATATTTAAGATAAACATGAAGCTTAAGATTACGTTATTTACAACATGTACTGTTGAATTTTTAACATTTATGTAATCCCCATGGCTTTACAGTACATGCATTAGAAAAAAACGTATAATAATACGTAATATCGGACTTTGTGAGTTTGTTTGACATTGTAAAAAAATGTTTAAAGATAACAAGTGCAAAACTTAAAACAAGTCAAAGTGGTTACAATAAGTAGATTTTAATGATTGCTTACTATATTAGAAATAAAGCAAAACACTTCTGATTTCTTGGTCTTAATGAATGTCAAACTCTCAATCTGTATTATTCGAACATCATCGTGTCAGTGGTACTACATGACTGCTATAGTACTTGATTCACATATTCTAAATGGCATACTCTCAAATCTCAATCTGTATTTATTGTCATCTCTCACGAGAGATGACACATTAAGTTTAATTTCCGGATGTGACGTCCCATTACTGCAGTAGAAGCTGCCATTTATCAATCGGCAATCCTCGGCTGATTCCACTACGCTCCAAACAAAAAAGTGTGAGGCAACCCGAGGATTACCGACTGGTCAGTTTGATGATGATGCGATTTTCTAAATATAGATCGAGATGTAAACAATGAGCTAAAATCTGCCTTATTATTGAGAAAGAAAAGCTGCACAGAAATCATAGAGATTCAGACACACATCGCCTGGGTGGTTGGGGTTCATCAAAATATACATGTATGTACACTGTATGTTCTTCTTGGCTATTACATTATAAATGATGATCAGAACTCGATAGAATCTTCGAACTAGGTCAGCGCGTGTGTAAAGATCCTCTGCGGCCGACGCGTGGATCCAAGAATTCACAGAAAAACAACATATTAAGCGATTGAATGTATTAAGAGTAAAGAAATGTCAGAAATTAAAAGCACATCTTATCATGTTATTAGCGGATACATTAATGTCCATAAGAAGATGCAGGCATTGGAAGATTAAATTTATTATAAGATCACAAAGAATCTATATGAGTCTTTTTTTGCATGTCTAATCAATTTTTAATGAGTTTTCATGTTTATAATTAAAGAACTTAAATAAGAAATTAAAGCAATCATTTTATTTATGCAGTTTGAATTGCATTTATGGCAAAGAAGACATCAAATTAATTCTCCTATATTATTGAAATGAAGCCAAAATAATAATAATACAGAATCGTTTAAGTTTAGTATGCAGAAAAAGTTTACTAAAGCACGAAAATATATATACTTGTCTATACATACTGCACATTAATTTGGAGGATCACTAATGACACAAGACTGTCGTAAGTTCGGGGTTTCTTAATGAGAACTTTTTCCAGATAATTTGTAAATACTTAATTTTAGTTGATAGCATTTAAATGTTACTACTTACCTAATTTTAAAAGCATGTGTGCTTTATTTCTTTGGATAACCTAAGTGTGTAAAAACTATGTGTGTAAAGGAAGATTTCATACTTCAAGACCGCAGAGCATTAACTGACAAGATTGGAAATATTCAGCTATATATAGAAATATGTCATTTCTATCTGTTACAATCAAAACATTTATGACAGACAATGAAATTGAAATTATTTTTCTTTTGGATCATACATTCACACTTAGTTTTTGAAAACAGCTCGATGGATTGAAAATGAATTTTAAACTAGAATTTCAATCAAATGTTTTCTGTTGTAATTGTTTACTGCAAGCCCCTCCGTTTTCCACATTGTATAGTAATGTACTCCCAAAATAAATTTGTTAAAATATTTCCTTTCTAGCTATATACACAACATAGGATTTTGGAGTTTGATGATTTTTTTCTTTATCTAATATTGTTCAGGTAAACTGTCTCTCCCCTTCCCTAGAGGAAGAGAAAAAAAAACTGTAATAGCTGAGAAAAAAGTTACACTTCACTGTTTATTCTGTGTCATTAAAGAAGCCAAAGAGATGACATTAATTTCAGGCTTTCTGGAAAGCCAAACTTGTAAATCAGTTATGTTTGTGACCAAACAATGCCCACACTTGCACAAAACAAATCCCACAAAATAATCAAATCAATTTTCTCTTTATAGTTTCAACAACCTATGATTTATAGTACACAGATAGGACGCTAGGTTAAGTTCGAGGGAATTCAGTAATACGATACTCAAGGTCTTGATCATGACCTTCTCGCGATTCATGAGCTTTATTGGAATGTCATTAATTCTGTGCAAACAGAAACAGCCACCCTCGCTAAGTCCAGGCTAACAGACTCCAACAATGATGTGGGGATATGACACAACATATAAACAAAATTGAATAGTTTATGAATTTTGCACGGAAATGGGAATGTTCGGCCGTGTGTACATATTTTTTCTACGCTTGTTAATTTGACATTTATATGATCTTTAATTTTTCATTTCCACTACACATTTGTAATTTCGATATAAGGCGTAAAGAGTTACGAGGTGATGCTTTATAGCATGTGCTCTTTATGGAATGATTCATGGGTTCAGGTTGCACAACAATATTCACATCCTGCTATATATTTTTACCAAAAATGCGCAAGTTGGGGTAGGTGTAATTAATTCAAAACAAATTTCTCAGAAGTTTCCTTTTCAGATCTTGTAAAACCATTCTTCATAAAGATTTTAGTACAAAAAAAATACATAGCTATCCTGCAAGGCACACAAGTTTGTTTCGGTCGAAGTCGAGCAGGTGTTTGAAAATGCAGTCCAGGGCCTAATCACTCCCCACACTTGACAGTATGTAGAAAAATCAGCACGCCCTAAATTTTATTAAATCTAGTCAATACAGGAAGTTTACATGTTGATTTTCATCTCATAAAAAAATTCAGCTCCAGTCTCGTATAAAAATGCCAGAATCGGAAGGGAAGATTCCGGGATTATTTTGCGTCAGCCATGATTTACTGTTACGACACCTGCAGGCCCTTACCATGCACATATTTAAATTCCGTATTTTAGTTTCAGTTTTCTAGTTGAAAAACGAAATTAATATATAAAGAGAAACGGAATTTATATATAAAGAAAAACGAAATAATTAAAAGTAGAAAACGAAATTATTAAATAAAGAAAAACGAAATTATTAAATAGAGAGAAACGAAATTAATATATAAAGAAAAACGAAATTAATGCATAAAGATAAACGAAATTATTAAATAAAGAAAAACGAACTGATTTATTTAATAATTTCGTTTTTCTTTATTTAATAATTTCGTTTT